TGTTATGTAAAATCATATTTGGCGTGTAATTTAAAAATGGAACGATCTTCTACTCCGTATCATGGCGACCACAGAGGTTACTTATCAAAGGTTTAATTTAAATATCGAAAGGAGCACATGAAAATGCTGTAAATAAAACACAAAAATTCTTCGGCGCGTAAAAAACTATTATTAGTTTAAAAATCGAAAATTAATGGAAAAAAATTTCGACTCGGGCAGGACTTATTATAGTTGTTTGTCAACTTCGTCATTGGTTTTAAAGTTCTGAACTATATTGATAAGTTTTAAGTTCCATGGATTATTTGAGAAAAGGAATACCTCAAGTTTGATTGATGGGTTTCACACGTTAGTCCATCAATGACACTTGCAGAGGTAAGCTGCAGTAATGGACAATTTCCTTAATTCGGGACAAACATTTAATCTTACAAAACTATATTTGAATGTGCTGTGATTTGAACTTTTGAATAATGCCGAGAAAATGGTCGTCAAATTGGATATGTTTGAAAAAGATTGGGAACCTTTAGGGACAAGACGAATGTCAATGATTGCTAATGACGACTATTGTTCTGTGTCATTGGGCAGTACAGGTGCGCCCGCAATCTGCATAAACAATGCTCGTCCATATAACAAAAGCGCAAACAGACAGACAATGCCTCGAGGAATATGTATGTGCGGAGTTTTCATGCTTGAGGTCTCTCTGATTGTGTTTTCGATGCGTTTTACATTTTCAGAGATTAAGATACCACAGGACAGGTTATGTCCAAATGTTATTAACAAAATACATTAAATTGTATCTCTAAATATTTTTTAACATTGATAACCGAGCGAGACTTATTACCGATTTCAATTCAGCATTTTCAGTACTTTTTTATGGCTGGCAAAGACGGACAGGCTTGAGATTCACTTGATATTAGTAGTAGTAGTGAATGCTTCTCTATACCATATGATAAGGATGTGCTATTGATCTATCTTGGACTGACTAAAACCGAAACGTGAATTGACATTTTATGCCTTTTTTGCGGCAAGGCCATTTTACATCCAGACAGTGTGACATGTAAAGAAAGTTATGTGAATTTGGGAAGATGTTAAATGCTAAAGGATATCGAACCCAACCGTTAATTATTAGCCATATACCTGCTGTTACTAGCATACTTGTGTGAATGCAGACTTCTAGTTTTGGTTGTACGAGTCAATTTGGAGTCGGATCTTCAAAGGCACGTGCGTAGTTGCGGCATGTCAAAGGCACTATCGCGGATCTTGGACAAGGTGTAATGGTGCGGTGTGGGCCCAGCGGCGTTCCCAAAGTGACGTGTCGCGTGGGACGCGTTTTTGACGCGGCTACGTGACACTTTGATGTTCTCGTTTGGGTGCAGCGTGATTGATGGAATACTAACAGATGCTTGAAGTTAACTCGTCTGAGCTTTCATAGAAGTCTCTGAGGCGCCGGCGCAGCTTTTTCCTTAGGAAATACATTATTATAGCGGAGTTTACTGACGAAATCACCATTTACACAATATCTTGAAAGTAAATAGATTGATTTGTTGTTGAAAAGTCGAAACTTAAATACATAGGTAGATGTTACGTAGTAATTTATAGTGAATAGTAAATATTATGTCTTTCTAGTAAGGTTCCGCACGAAGTTGAATATCAACGTACATAGTTTATTTTTTATACCTAATTTTATCTCATCTGTTTCTGATTAAATATGAATAAAAGGTAAAAATAAAGATATCTGTATTTATTTAAGCAGTATTTATTGGCTTCAGTCGGATTAAACGATCATGCTAAAGCGAGATCTACACAGACACGTAAATAACTGGGTTTTTGGAAATATCAGTCTCGCTATGATGCCATAGATATTAAAAGGCGAGGCTTAGCTGAAATAGACTTTTGCAAAGCATCTTATTGGTGCGACGTTCGTATCCACCCGCGGTGAAAGAGAAAATATTTTATCGCCTTTTCGCGTGAACCAATCGCAAAGCGGCTGTTCTGAAACTCCGCCTATTTTCAGATGTCTACAAGTACACACTGAAACTGAAATCTGTAATCCTGCGTACGAATAAAGTCTATATTCGTATTAATCGGACGTCGAGTGGTTCTATGAAGACCCTTTAATGATCTATTTATAGGAGGACTTATATTAAATACGTTCATGTTATTTCTAGTTAATCTACAATTTTTCTGAAACATATTCGACTTCGTCTGAAATCTGCACATTTTGCCCGAATCACGAACCGACGTCCACATCTGAAAAAGCCGTGTTTAATCGCGTTTCGGTTTTAGGACATAGAGTACCTAATATCCAAAGCCAACATAGTTCGGGAGCGCTTCTTGTTTGAGATGTTATATGGCCGAAGTTTCACTATTAAGTGAACGCATGCTTGTCGTAAATAAAGTCTGAATCAGTGAAGAGGACATAGAAATATCTGCCTCATGCTCCACATAAGAGTCAGTGGAATTGACGTTATTCACAGACGAAACCGTCTAGGTGTCGAGCAGATAAACGGGCAGCCGGCGTCACAGATAGGATTCCGCAAGCGCAGATTAGCTCATCCGGTGCTGATAGCGCTCAGCGGAATGCTGATTTCAAATTTTTGTCCGACGCTTCTTTTAAACATATTCATTACATTATTCCTGGGCAGTCCTATGAGAAATATAATGGCAACGTACGGCTCGATATCAATTTGATTAACTGCGGAAGCTCCTGGTCTTTATGTAAAGCATATTTCCTATAAGCAGAGTTTGAGTCTTTCTTCCGAACTTTGAAAAATCCTTTACGTTCCAGATTTATCTAATATACTATACAACTAAACTTTTCAACTAAATTAAGGTTATTTGTTGTGCGAAACACTATACAAAATAACATATACCTTTTATATTCTTTAAAACCCTGTACTTGAAACCCCTTGCTCCCGCTCCGCTCCTTCAAATTTCCTTTAAAGAAGTATTGTAAATATAGCTTCGAATACGTTAAATAACAATAAAAATTAATAGATTTTCGTTTCCCCAAAGCTTTTTCCTTTGATAATTTTGAATTGAAAGTTTTTTCACGAATTTTTACAAAACATTTAAGTTAAGTGACCAATTCAACGGTTTCAAAAATGAAACGGGAATTAATATGATTCTAATTTGTAAAACGTTATTTCGAATACTGTTTGTTTTAGTGAATAAAGTAAATGTTCAATGTCATCTGATCAACCACGTTAACAAAAGAAGTTCATTTAATAAAAGCAGCGCATAGTCGCTGTTTATTTTTCGACTCGATTAACTATATTTGTGACATCATCGTATAGGCTTACATTGCATCATTGTCTACAAACCGCACAACGTAACGACTTGCCAAAATTACCCATTGAATGAAACTAGAAAGGCCCTAGATTACTGCCTTGATCCCCATTTTATAATTTATTATAACTGATCTCACACTTTCAGTTAATATGCCAAACACGTATAAACAACTGACGGCGACGAGGAGAGACAGATAGAAATGCAAAAACGACTTTTTGGCATTAAATCGATCTTCCCCTACTGCATACATGATTTTCTAAGTATAGTTATGGTTGAATCAAAATTGCCATTTCTGGGTACCGGCTTAAACTCTACCGATAAAAGCCCTATTTTTCCCCGTGGGGCATGGGGGCAACACATTTCTGTGTCTGATTCATTGATCCGTTCCTTTACAGGCAAGTAGTTGACCAGATTTTCCTGACCGACAGACAACCCTACCTACTACACAAACTATTATTTCTATTGGATTCAAACCCGGGACCATTCACGGCTAACACCTAACGCTAATGGTAGTCAACTCATTAAACTATTAGCCCACCACCACACCCCTGAACGTAGAATAGAACTACGATTATACCCAATATGCTACCGTTGCGAGTCGAACCTAGGATTTTGTGATTAAGGCCGGCTGTACTAACCACTAAACTAAAAGCAGTGCATACACAAATCGCCGAGTTACGTTATAATAATAATGAAGAGATGTCCTATGGACGTAAAAGTATGTCTATGATTAAACCGTATTTATAGTTTGTAGTAGGCATACAGATTGTACATTGCGGTTTAACTTTGGTTAAACAAAGAAACAAATTTGATTCATACGGACCAGACATGCTTAATTCTTAGCACAAACTAATAATAATGAGTTAATAATATTTGTTCATAATCTTCTTGGTGCTATAATTTGAGGCAATAATTTAACAATGCACAAAAAGTGCGTGGGCACAATAACCTGTTGCATAGGGCAATCTGTGCTGTTACATCGATGTTGCCATATTATATTTTAGCCCATTGAATTATGTTGTTATTAGCTGAATTAGTTAAAATAATTGCCTTATATGTTATAACACTGTTTTGAATTTGACCACATATTTAATGCTTTCATTGTTACGAAAAATGTAATTAATTAATAATTATTTTTTCTAACTAAGATAAAAGTAAATAGCAATACATGAACATGTACTTTTGTTTAAGAATTAGTTATGAACTAATAATAATAATATCTATATACTGAGAATCTAAAACTACATTCTAAGGTTTCTCAACAAATTAATTATATCTTTATAATATAAATAGCTACCGCGTGTGTCTATATTATAGGAGCTGAAATGATAAATAACTCCAGGAAATTTGCCTCGCCCTCTCTCTCTCTAATTAATGACAGGTTCATAAACGAAGAAGTGAATTGTGACCGTGGGGGGTGAACGCACCGTTAGCACGTGTAGCCGGCGACCGGTAAAAGGGCGAACAATTCTCTATTCTTATCGGACGGGGTGTTTTGAACCAGACTGTCGGTCCTCGTCCGCCGAAAGGCGGGAAAAGCGCGTCGTATTCAGCCAAAGAGAAACAGCTCGTATTTAGTAATCTGCAAGGACGACTTTGTGTTGAAACGTATCTGTTATGTCCGGTTTCCAAGGACAACAAATGTTTTAGAAAAGTTGCACAGAAAACTAAGAGTGAGTGTAATTAGAACAGGACTCCAGTAGAGTAAAAAGCTACGAACCGATGGGCCGCAGCGCGTCCTCACCGTGCGTAGCCGGCGTGAAGTAAAGCGCGAAGAGGTCATCGACGGACGCGTTGGCCGACGCGTCGGGCGAGCGGTAGGGCTGCGGCTGCGCCAGCGGCGGCGCCGGGCCGGCGTAGGGCGGACCGTACAGGCCGCTCGGGCCCGCTTCCAGCAGCTGCATCTGCGAGATGTCCACGAACTCGTCGTCCTCTCCGCGACCGACCTCGTCCTCCGGCCGGCGCATCGCACAGAGCATCGCACGAGCGCATCCCCGCACTTCGCACACCACCATATACACTGCACCGGGCGATCACAGACGATGAACACATTCGCACGTCGTGCCGCGCGCAGCCCGCAAGGAACTGAGCGATCCGAACGGGGCGACCGCCCCCGTCACTCTCGGCTTATCAATGGACGGCAGCCTCCCGCGGCCGTTCATTCACGACGGCCGCGTTAATGGCGCGAGGTTCGCGCGCCCACGTGCGCGTGAAAATGGCGCGACGCGGACGCTGCGGAGGCTCGCTCCGGCGTCCCGACCGCTTTCGCCGCTGACTCAGCTCCCGCGCGGATTCGGTCGTTCCGCAATTAGCCGGGCCCGTGACGTAGCCCGGATGCCTGACCCGTTACGTCGCTCGCCTCGAAATAATTCCATCGTTTCCCTATCTACGTAGCGCAGTGCAGCACGCGCGATGCTATTTTTACATTGTCATATTGACGTACGTATTTACGTAGGCACCGACTCGCCGATCGGGTGGACGGATAACTTCCATTTCGGCAGCGAGCGCGGTGTATAGACGAACACAGCCGGGCTCAAAAGAATTACAATATTTCGAGAAGGCGAAGGGTAATCGAGGATTAAATAATAAATGCTGGAAAAGATCCCGAAACAAAAATAAAAGTGAGGTCGTCCGAGTTTTTTTATTATAAAATTACGATTTACTCGCTACGAGTGGGGGAATAAATAAATTATTTTGTATTTTTCTCTCCAATCGTTCCCACGTCCGTGAGATACACGAGCACAAGAAATGTAGCTTAATATAAAGGAGAGGAAACGGGGAAAGGTCGCGCGGCTTCAATGCCGTCGCCATAGCGACCACCTGTTGATCCCGACTCTTGTAAATGTCAAAGTGCGAGGGAGTAGGCGCCGAGGGAAATCCGAGGGCTCTCAGAGGGTGCGATGTGCACGTTGTGTATTGGAAGGACCGCCGACGAGCGATCGATGCCTTAAGCCGCTATGAAATAATAATTTCCAAGACAAATTTAACTTAGAATTGCCTAAACGTTAAAGTGGGTTTTAAGCTTGTTCGAGAGGTTTCTCGACGTCGCAAGGAGCTTACATTTTTAATGAAGCTTAGAGATTTTTGAGAGGATGCGTGCACCTACACGTCTATTTATACCTATGATGGGATTGATCAATAAATTTGATAAGAAGTATAAACAAACAATGCCTTATTGTAGCTAAATATTACTAAAAAAGTAAAGCTCCTCACTATTTCCTGTACAGAGAAAACCAACTATAAAAGTACTACATGTGTAGTGAGAAGATTAAAAAGAACGAACTTTTCTAGTTTGTTATGTGAAAAAGGTAAAAAGCGAGTGCTATGGCATAAAGAACAAATATTCTACTTGTCTTTGGGCTACTGTAGAGACCATAAGGAAAGTTCTAATAGACTTACCTAATTTTTAAACTTATACATTAAGTTTAATTTAATTAACTTAAATGCCATAAGTTCTATAGTATTGATAAAGTCTACTGAAAGTTAAAATCTATTTAAATTGAGACTTGAACCTGGATGCACAGTGCAACCTAACCTGACATAACCATTAGACTTCACTTGATGGCAGATGAAACACCCTGGCCATACAGTATCTAAATAAGATGCGCTATTCACTTATTTTGGCTCTGAATTTTCGGAAATCCAAAAAGTTTGCGACAATTCTTTATTCTTTTTTGATCCAAATCGATTTCTAATTTTTATCATCTCATCATGTGCTATAAAATATGAAAATTATTAAATAATTACAATCTCCTTATGTAAACCAACTATTAAAATTAAACATGCTTATTTAGCATTCTTTGTTATCTTTGGGAAGATGGCATTTAGAAGTCAAAAGGCACCAAATGTTATCAAAACCGTTTTTGCTCGTGAACTTTCACATTTTTATTATTAGAAGATTGTATTTGCCCAATAATAAGCCACAAGTCTCTCCATTGTGTATGTACACGCGTAAAGACGAACATGGTGGTTTGATAAATAGGTCTATTACATTGTGCCGAGAGTTGAGTAAAATGAGTTAGTCACCAAAAAAAATGAAATGGCAACCTTGTTTGTCTATCGTAGGCGCCGGAGCGGATGTGCGTGGGCGCTCATTTCCACGATTTTCACAATATTGACGAGTCAACTTCGTAACCGATTCGTTATATCGTGGGCATATTAATATATTATGGCCACGATACGGTGGGTGTTTGACAATGTCACGTATCGTGCTTTATTGTGAAATTTGATTTACGTCAATAGTACGAGTAGTCCTTTGATGTTCAATATTACTTAGTCTTTTTATCTAGGAACCGTTACTCGTATTTACCATAACATAAAGTGGGGTTATGAAGATATACAGAAGACGACAGACGTTGTTGTTATAAACATATGAAGGCACTGAGATAGCAGTGTATAACATAACAACTTTAAGTAAATCACCTTAACGGTTTAAAACGAGATATATTAGTTAAACTTATTTGAAAATGCTGCTGTGACGCTTGTCACGGCTGCTGCAAAGCATCCGCAACGTCGGGCCGAAGTTAAAAATCATTTTCAATTAAGTTTAACTAATATATCGCGTTTTAAACCGTTAAAGTGTTTTATTTAAATGTGCACTATTCGCGTAAAATATAGACAGTATTTATATACTTTATTTAAGAAAAAATTTAAAGAATCCCAAAAGCAGATCAATGGCTAAAATGTCGATATGTAAGTAAAAATTAAACTACCCCCATTTTGTTTATTTCTTTTTGCCTATGAAGTAAGTTCACTACCTTTATTGCTCTTGTCTAGGACGTTTTATATACCTACATATACAATGTATGTTTAATTGTATCTTCTTCAAACGATTAATAACAATAGAAATATTTTTCTATGAGCAGAAATAAAATAACAAATTGGAGCAAACTATGAATCGAACCTCTCCCTAAAGAATACATACTTCTAAAGTGGCTCAGAGTTTTCCGGAATGACGCGTTATTTAAGGAGAGCGGCCGCTAAGCTGTGCCCGGCGCCCGCCCACGCGCTAAAACGGATGAATGAAGTTAACCTTAGTACGAAACCTTAACATTGATGTTTCACGTGGGTTTAATTCAGCGCTACAGCCGTCGAAAATGTAACGTTCCGTTTAGTACATCGCACGGCTGCGTAGGTAGCGAGACATTTACTCTGAAATCACAGCCAGATGTATGACTTCGAGAAAATTACACTTTTCAATTACACAACGAATTTCGTGATTCCGTAAAGAAAACAACGTTCAAATGGCGACATTTTAAACGTGGGCTTGGAAAAAGTTCTGGGATTACTTAAAGTTCACCTTTTATGATATTTCGCTTTTCTTTACTAAACTTATTATAACGTAAAACGAGTGAAACGACTTTAAGAACCGATCTGGAAATATTTTGACCAGCTCATTGGTCTAATGCAGCAGCAGTAGCAGTTTATGTAATCTCTAATAGTGGAAAAATAAAAAGACAAGAATAGAGAGAAATAAGAGATATTATATGGGCAGAAGACATATCGAAATCACTTTTTAAAAAATGCGTGAAATTTAAACGCGTTTCAGTTTCAGTCTGTAGATTTCAGAATATCCAAATCCATAGGTCGATATCGCATCTTGTTGAGATGTTATATGCGGTTCTACAGTTTTCTCAAACACATAACAAGTATAATAAACGTCTCAGTAAATTAAAGATTTTAGTTTTTCTTACCAAATAGATGTTCTTTACTTCTATGTAAAGCTGACAAGTTTGTTTGTTTGAGCGCGCTTATCTTAGGAATACTGCTTAATTGAAATATAGAGAAAAGTTATACGTTATTAAACATCAATGCGACTTATAGGAGCGAAGAAACAGCGGGAAATGTGAAAAAAACGGGGAAAATAATTACCCCTTGTGAGTTTCCGTTGCGTACGATAACGAAAACGGTTCTATATACCCAAAAAATATGTATAAAAGAATGATTTCCCTTTAAATGTTATTTATGTTTTAATCGTCTCAAAAAATAGAAAACATACATAAATACGAGATGAGTTTATTCAAAACTAAAACAATTTGATATGACTTTATTGTGCTTAAAATTAAAATGTAACGTATTTCTACCTTAAATAAACGTCTTCGACGAACAAAAAACTTAAGATTGGAGAAAAAAATAATTATTTTTTTTTATATAGACAATTGTCTCAGCTTAATTGTAGCAAAGATTACTTACAATAACTACTTTAAAATATTCGAAATTTAATTAAAATGATTTTATTCGTGTTTTTTTCGAAAGTCTTTTATTTAGGCTCTAATATATAAGGCTGAAGAGTTCGTTTGTTAGTTTGTTTGAACGCGCTAATCTCAGGAACTACTGGTTCGAATCTTTCTCAAGGAAGTTCAAATATATATCAAGGAAGGTTATATGCTATAAACCATCGCGCAATAACTAATAGGAGGGAAAAAACAGCAGGAAATATGAAGAAACGAAATTCTTTGTAAGTTTCCAATGCGTGCGTTGCGAAATCAGTTCAAGATACCCAAAAAATATGTATAAAAGAATGATCACAAAAATGTCTGTGACACTATATGTCTATCTTGTAAAATTAACTTGCAAGAACAACGGGACGCGCATGACGTCGTGTGTAACAGCAACAATTTATAAAAGGTTTGCAAAAACAAGTTGTGATGCCGAAACTAGTAGATTTATTTAATGTAGTTTAGAAACATAAATAAACAAACAGGCATTAAAACACTCCAATCACCATCTATAAATAATAAGCTATAAACATAATATCGAAAATTTTTTAAAGGTAAAAGTACATTCATATTTCGTAATAACTAAAATTTAATTGTTTTTCTGCACGTCTGAGGTGACAACGTTTCGCCGTGTCTCGGTGCCGGCGCTACGCCAGTATTTCGTGAAATTACCATGCTAATAAGGCCTGCTTCAATAAATGCTAATAAGAAATGTGGGGGCGACTGGTTTTACTCTAAATGGATCGGTATAGCGTCACCGCCGAAACTGCTTGCTTCTACATAGCTTAGACAAAGAACTTCGACTGTGTACTTTTTAGGACATATCGGAACTTCGCCAGCCTAATAAGGCGATTCGAACAGTAATAACATCGTCTGATGTAGCCAAATTAGCTATTTAAGCGGTCCCATTATGAGAATATTTACCATTTTATATCCGTGTATATAGATGGCTACTTTTCGTAGCTATACTTATACGTTAAGTATTTGCCAAAAAATTCTTACACTTTTAAATACTTCTCAAATCAAATCATTTAGTCCACCCACATATTAAATAATACACAAAAATACAAAGACATAAATAATAATAATAGATGTATGTGGAGGGACACGTCAAACGACTCAGCTTTTGTTGTACCTGGAAGTAGGCACAATGCAGATATTCAGAGTGATGCCTTCTCCGCATGATTTCAATAACAGATTCCATAGGAACATAAAACAATAAATTGATAATAATTTAAAAAAAAACTTAACGGTTTAAAACGCGATAAATTGGCA